CCTTTAGTCTGTGGTCGGGTAGCTGCATTGGTGGGACGCTTATCGCAGTCGCTGTTCAACGAGCGCGACGCCAGGTTACAGATCTACGTGGATGACCCGTGTTTCCTGGTAAGCGGCAGCAGATGTCAGCGAGACCTACGAATGGCTGTTCTGATATGTGTTTGGTCTGCGCTGGGACTGCCGCTGGCCTTCAAGAAAGCATCCCGGGGCATCGATTTCGGATGGATTGGTTTCCAGTACACCATCCGTGCAGGCAAGGATGGCCAAGTTCGTGTCACAGGCAAGCCCGAACTGATGCAGGAGATCCGCAGCATGACCTTGGAACACACCCGCATCAACGTGCTAGGTGTGCGGGACCTCCAGAAATATGTGGGCAAGGCCAACTACGTTGCTGGCGTCGTTGACACATGGAGGCCCTTCATCACGGATTTATGGGCGGTTATTCATAGCTCTGGCGACTCCCATGCTCCTCCAAACTGCGTTTGGACCAAGCAGTGGCGACATGTCTCGGACTGGTTCTTGGCCTTTTTCCATGGCGAGTCGGGCTCCCTTGTCAGGGATTACAAGGTCAGTTCCTACTTCCAGAAGAGTGTCAGAGTGCGCATCGTCACTGACGCATCGCCATGGGGCATCGGCGGCTTCTTGATCCTCGGCAATGAGCCCATCTGCTACTTCGCATCCCCTCTGGACCAGCACGACTCGTCGCTTGCCTAAGCGGAGCTGGGCTCACCGAGAGGCCAGCAGGTTTGGGAAGCACTGGCCATATTGGTGGCATTGCGAGTCTGGCGCAAGTATTGGAGCAAGGCGTCTGTGGAACTATACGTCAGCTCGGACAGTGTCGCTGCCCTCACATTGCTCCTCAAGCTTCGGGCCAAACCGCGAGCGATTGGACTGGGCATCGTCGCCAGGGAGATCGCGCTCGATTTCAGTCGGTCTAGTTACCGGCCCAGTTGGTACGAACACATACCGGGCGTGGCGAACACGGTCGCCGACATCCTCAGTCGTCGGTATCAGCCCGGCAAGCAGTTCGAGCTCCCAGGATTGCTGAGACACGCTCGTGAAGTCACGGCTCCAATCCGTGACGATTCATTCTTCCTTGTGAGTCGGCCGCTGCGCAAAGCGGACTAGGTGGGGCCTCCTTTTGACCTTCCGGCTCCGGTTTCACTCTAATGCACATACACCCTGCCACTACGACTTCCGTGTTGGAAGAAAATCGGGATGCCACCCGGGCCGTGCGTCCGGTAACGCTAAGCCCCAACCTCGTCTGTGGGGAGGCAATACATGCTCATACATGTCTCCTGCGAGCTTGCGTGAGAGCTGAATTGTTCGCTGCATGTCCACTTGCATTGCGTAGACTCGCTCTTGAGGGTGCTTGTGCCTTTCGTGATTGTTGTGTTGCACTCTGGCAATGAATTCCTGCTTCCCGCCTGCCAGGTCTTCCTAAACCACCGGAGTGCAGCATGAAGCGGCGCAAGCTTGCTCATCTCCCGCGGGTTAGCCTTTCCAAGGTTGCTGAGATTGCATCGGCTAGCCATGGAGAGGTTTCTGAGGAGCGGATCGTTCGATCCGGTGATCAGGGGGAACGAGTGACGGAGGCTCCTTGTCGGCAGAAATGGGCGCAACGCCATGATGCGCCTGTGATTAATTACAGCAGGGGGGCATCCAAGTGGAAGGCTGGGCATGTTTTCACAGAAGCGGAGAAACGCTCTGCCTTGGATGCCTATGAGCGGGATTTCGTGGCAGCATCTGCGAGGGGCCCGGCTTGCTCAGTTGTCCGCACTTGGGAGTCCATGCACACTTCGTGGTTCGGCGGGGAGCCGCCTCCTTGGCCGCTCACGCCGGCAAAAATACGTGCTGTCGGCTCCATCATGAAGGCTAGGGGCTACAGGTCCTTCGGTAACTACGCCTCGAAAGCCAAGATGATGCACATACAGCTTACGGGGGAGTGGCCGGCCATTCTTGACCAGGAAATGCGCATGGCCAAGCGGAGTGTTGGACGAGGCCTCGGACCAAGCAGACAATCACAACCCATTCTGGTCATAAAGCTGGCAGCGCTGCCGGAAGAACTTCTGGCAGATAACCGAGCCTTGGTTTTGCGAGGGCCGATAGGCTCCTACAACATGGTCGTCTTGAGCGTCTACTTCATGCTGCGAGAGATCGAGGGTAGTCTATCCTTGTGTTCAAGCGTGGAGGTTGATGAAGTTGCCCGTGTGGTCAGGTGGTTACTTCCCAGCAGCAAGTGCGACCCACTGGCACTCAACACGACGCGCGAGTGGGGTTGCACATGCAAGGCCAACGGCTGTTGGTTATGCCCGTATCATGCTGCATATAGACAACGACGAATGCTGCTGGCTCGCTTCGCGGACTCGGATGGGTCGCTGCCGCCCGGGCTACCCTTCTTCCCTACCGAGAATGGGGGAACAGTGGAGCGAGAGGCCGTTGTTGAGACCTACAAGGCGTGGCACAGAGCGGCTGGAATCGCGGTCGTTGACGGCGATGGCGCAGAGCTTCTGGGCGGACACTCCGCACGAACCGGAGGCGCAGTCCTGCTCGCGCAAGAGGGGGTGCATCTATATCAAATCGAGTTGTTGGCCAGGTGGAGGAGCCCAATGCTGCTTCATTATGCTCGCACTGCCCCGCTAACCACTCTGACCCAGGACTACGTGAAGGCCAAGATCGACAAAGAAACGCATGACAGACTGGATCAGCTGGCATCTAGCATTGAGGAGCTCAGACTCGCGAAGCCGCCAAAGTTTGAGCAGTGGCAGCGTGCACAGGTCATCGCGGAAGGCATCCAGGGACCCTTGAAGGCCATGGTGGCGCAAGAAATCGCAACCCTCAAGGAGACCCTGCTATCGGCACCATCGCACTACATTCAGAACACCGATACTAAGGCCTGGCATAAGTCCCGAATCGATGGAGCTCTACACCATCACAGGCTGTGGAAAACCGCGTGTGGTTGGCCCTTCGGCTCCGCGACGGTCAGGAGGGCTGACAGCCTCCCACACGAGGCTCGGCGCTGTGAGAAGTGCTTCCCAAAAGGGTCACTCCCAGAAGCGGAGTCCTCCGACTCAGAGTCCTGAACACTGAGCGCGCAAAAGGTGAAAATGGGGTTCAGCTCGCAGGTATCTCTCCGAGTGCGCCAAGACGCATTCGACATGTTGGGCGACACGACGTCCAGCAGAACCGCACGCTCTCAGGCGGACTCATCACCGGCATCCTGGAGTAAAAATGGTGGGAGGGTGGGTTTGCCTGCTTGCACCGGCACTTGTTGTAGTTAACACTTGTGTGATCGTAACAAGTTTAGGTGCGCAAGGGCGGTAGGGTGGGAAATGCAGCAATCAACATCTTCAGATTTGGCTGCAACGGATCGGAAACCGATCTGAAGGTGTTTTTTGTCCCGCCCAGCCCTCCCTGAGTTGAAAATGGGGTTCAGCTCGCAGGTATCTCTCCGAGTGCGCCAAGACGCATTCGACATGTTGGGCGACACGACGTCCAGCAGAACCGCACGCTCTCAGGCGGACTCATCACCGGCATCCTGGAGTAAAAATGGTGGGAGGGTGGGTTTGCCTGCTTGCACCGGCACTTGTTTTTCTCAACAAGCCGTGCAATTGCATGTTTCATCGCCTTCATTTCTTGCATAAGGATCGACAGCAACTGTCTTTCCTCCTGCCGCAGCACCGGGTCCGGGATGGCTGGCTTCACCACTTCGGACCCAGTTCCAAGGATCTCTGCGCGCTCAGACAACCCACAATCCAAGCTACGCCATCATTCCGAAAGATCTTCGCACTCAAGATGCCTGAGGGAGGCATTCCTGAGCACTCGCCGGCTGAATAGGAGGCTATCTTGTGGCCGCTGAATTCCTATCTGTGGCTGGCTAAGAAAGCTCTCTAAGACTTTTTTCTCAAACAACCTCTGGTCTAGTAAGTTGCTCACCTTTGCAGGGTGCTGGCTGGTGCAAAATGCACAGTTCGTTGCTTGTTGAAAACCCAAACCTCCAAAACGAATGATTGGTTGCTACAAGAAACCCAAAGTGAGTGATAGCAACTAAAAACCCCCAAAACGAGTGAGCAATGGCGGACAAGTCAATGCCCCTAAACAATTCAGGGTGTGGGGTCCTGGGCATCAGTCCGAATGAGGCACAGTACCCTGCACCCTGCCCACGGCGCAGCCAATTGCGCACTGAAAAACAACAATGACTTGTGCCTGACAAACCCCCAAACCTTCAAAGCAGTGACAGCATGACCGGTTCCCGAGCCAAACAAAAAGGTGTTCATAAGGCAGGCGGTGATGAGTACAAATTGAAAATGGTCACTCCATTCCAACTGCTTTGTACATGACATGGAGAACCCCGTTGATGCTTATACGGCCCTACACTGCATGTCTCTTCAACTGCCAAGTCGAATCGTCCAAAAATGCATTGCCTCCGTTGTAAGTCGGTGGTCGGCACGGTTTCACACTGCACTCCCAAGTCCTTTCTTGATGCAAGTGGGCTCCGTCGAAGAACTTAAGACCGAAGCTTACAGTGCCCCAATGGCACGCAAGTCTCGCTACATACAGTTAGGTGGACACTTATTGGTAGTTCTTCGATTCAATCGTTCAGATCCGCATCTCTCAACTAGCAGTTGCATAGAGATCATAGAGAGAATCTGCCAATCGCGCAAAAGCAGTGAAAGCCAGAACATTTCAAGCGTGAGCCCTTGTATAGTTGGTTGGAGGAACCTGTCATTCAACACACGAAGAGTGGTGCTTGACGTAGTAAGCAGACACACAAACAAGCAAGCGAGCAAACAGTCAAAAATGCAAGCATGCAATCTAGCAGTCTAGCATCGAAGCCAAAAAGCAAGCAACCAAGCAAACAAGCAAGAACGCGAACAAGCAAGCAAGCCAGCGTGCATGCAAGCAAGCAAACAAGCGCGCAAGGCCAAAAAATGTCTTGCGAAGACGATTGCCCCGTGCGGTGCATGCCTTTATCTGGCATGCATCCTACCGGGATTGAGGCTGCAGAGGGCGACAATGAGGACGAGGTTGACGAAGCAGAGGAGGAAGAGGATGACGAAGAAGAAGATGCAGAGGTGCTTCTAGCAAATTTTACTGATGAGGTGCTTGCGAACGGCGCATACATTGCGAGACTAGCCTAGACTATGCTACAGCGTGGTAAACCGTTGCGCTGCATGTCCAGGTTCCTTACGGGGGGGTAAGGCCCTTCGATCCTGAGGCAGCCGAAGCTTGTAGGTATTCATGCTCGTAGGGTTGTCAAGTTTAGATCAGCCTGTGCCTGGATTGCAGCTCTAAAGGTGCCGGGAAGCGAGCAGCAGATCATGGCCTTGCTCAAACAGGCTCTGTAGTTTTGGGGTTACAGCACAGCACAGCTTCCAGCTTCTAGCAGCCTGTGAATGTGAATGCCATACAGGGTTCAAGCATTCGCGAGCATTTCACGTCCTGACAGGCGGATGAGATGGAGCGTGCCTTGCGGCAGATCGAGGCCGCCCAATGTCTAGAACAGGAGCAGCAGCATAGCAAGTCTGCTGCAGAAACGGTCGCCTGGTCATCGTTTCCTTTTGTTCAAGGCGATGGAGAGCGCCGGCATCCTCAACGAGAACTTCATGCAGGCTGAAGTGAAGGAGCCTTGAGTCGCGAAGTAGTCCCGTAGAGTCCCATATATAGTTAGCAAGGTAGCGTCCTGTTAACGCTTATTAAGGCTTGTTAGTTGTGTAGACGAGGCAGGTATGCACAGCCGCACAGCTTCAAGCACCGGTTAGGATGCATCCCGCAACGAACGGCTCCACAAACATCACCCAGGAAGCGCTGAGCCCAAGCAACAAAGCCCGGGCCTCGCCCCCCTCGCCCCAAACAACAACTTCAGCCCCTTTTTTTGAACAGATAGCTCAGGAATGGTAGGGCCCCGGCTCCCTAGACTGCCAGGCTGATCAGGAAGCTGATCAAGGCCTGAGAAGCAGAACTTTGTCTTGAATGACCTTGTGATGGCTGGCACACTTACAGCCTACAGCCCTTGAGGTGAATCGGTGGAGGACCAAGTGCCGGAGCATGAATCGTGGTTGGAAACGCCATGCGACAGTAGCAAAAGAGGTCTAGGTCTAGGTCTATGCCTGCACAATACAGTAGTTCACGCACTGTCTGGCCATTGTGCGCTCGTCCATGTTCACAAGAGTCCAGTGCGAATGTGGGAGGAAATTCTCAACCGCTTCAATACGCTGGAAAAGGCGTTCACATGGCATGCTGTTGCACTGCAGAGTTCCGTTCCATTTCCACTCAGGGGATTCCCAGCGTGTCCGACCTGCAAACAGGAGAAAGCCAAATTTGAGGAAATGGTAAGACAAGCTCAACAGGGGAGGCCGGACAATGCTTTGAGCAGTGATTCATGCAGCTATCTTGCACTATCAGGCGCCCGGCCTGAAGAAAACCATGGTTCAGGTCGGCCCGCTGAGCGTGTGAGTCCAGCCGGCACCGGTGCGAAATGGTCTCATGCGAGGGTGCTTCGACAAAGCACAGAAAGTTGTTGAGCGGCTTGTGAGCATAAGAACTGATGGACACCTGCATGGAGCTGCCGAAAGGCCTGCACAGCATCTGAGTTCGAAGTCAGATAGACGTCTTGTGCTGGAATCAAGGAGTTCTGGGTTGAACATCCAGCGCTGAGCCAAGCACCAGAAAACAAGGATGCTCCAGTGACACGTCCCCAGCCTACCTACTGAAGGTCCGAGGATCGTTTGAAGCTTGCAAAACTGAACATTGCGTTTGTTGTTCTTGTCGCTGTTGCTGCCCTCCGACAGGTTGGTTGCACGAGCGGCCGCTAGCGACTAGGTCAAACCCCATACGGCCGATCTCTGCGTGAGCCTCCAGCATCCAGCAGCCATGTCGATGCTGCTGGATGCATCGGCCACGCGGGCCTCAGGCAGCAGCGGTCAGCGTCCTGCTAATCGACAGAGACAGAGAATGACAGAGATACGGAGAGAGGCCAGGGTGTTATTGTTGCATTGCAAGGCAGCAGAATTGACAAACTTGTTGTTTCCAGGATTCAGTCAGTCGACTAGCAGAGCAGCTGGGTGCTCACTACAAACACCCAAGTCGTCGAAGCTACACTCGCTCCGGAGGGCACCTCTTTAATCTTGGCGTCCTGTGTTCTTTCGACTGCGCTGAAGAAGAGCGGTGGCCGTTTGAATGCAGAGTGGATCCAAGCTACGTCGAAATTGATTCGAGGCGCACTGTGGGTCACAAAGCCGAGTTCTCGGGTTGTGTAGTAGTGAAGCGGTATTGTACTGGCGAGTTCACGCACGTAATGTTAGGAGCAAAGCCCTAGAAGCCTTGAAGCATACCTTCGGTGTGGAGGATCACGACGCCGCATTGCGGAATTGGCTAATGGTGTTAATGTCCCTTGTCTTGTCTTGCACATGATGCGGTTGAGGTCTCAGCTCGTTTCTGAAGCTGACCTGCCGTCGTCAACAGCGACAGAGATAGAGAAAGAGAAAAGGAGAGATGAGAGACAAAGACAGAGAGACCGAGAGATTTCTCCGCAGCGAGCGGTGCGCAGGATGCTCGCGCCACACAGGCGTGCCGACGATCAGCACCAGTTTGGCTCCTGCCATGGCATGGCAAAGGCTCGGCTTCGAACAAAACAAAACAGAACAGCACGTAGTAAAGTTAATTCACGTTCTTGTGTTGTGTTGTGTTTTTGATGCAACAGAAGATACACCTAAAGTTCGTGGGAAGACATTAGAGACTTCACAGCATGTTTCAGTTGCACTCCAACTTCCTTCGTTGTTTGCCACCTCCCCGCTCCACAGTTCCTGGCTACCTTAGCGAGACAAAGTCAACACCCTATACTCGTAGTTGAAGCCAAACGCAAGCCGCGAACGTGAAATGTAACCGATGTTGACAACGAAGAATATGCTTGATACGGTATGCACTAGAAGATACACTCGAGTTGTCAAGAAAGCAAGAGCAAATAGAGGAGTCTTCGCCAACCGACAGCTATATACATATACATATGTATATAATTGTTACCTCGTATGATGGAACAGTCGAAGCAGATGTTGAGCGCTGCATCTGTTGCGAAAAACAATCGGCTCGAGAGCTTGTTACGTGCCTCCCAATGCTGGCAAACTAAGAGCCTGCGCTTTTCTACTGTTGCTGAAGATGGTGATGTCTGGATCCGATGTTTCGCAGTTTTTCGTCATTGTGTATGGATTTAGGTCGGTTTTGCCTGTGCCAGGCGAACTACAGGGACTGCAGAGTGAGCTCGTAACCGGGCACCCCAGGGGATCACGGACTGGCGCACTTTTCCTCACGTAGCACACTGCTTGGACGTGCTGCGCTTATTTGTCTCCGTCAAGTCTCGCGAAGAACAGCACGAAACTGAAATCGCAAGGCTTGGTTTGATAATGACCGTCAGAAGTTGTTGGGTGCTCGGTTGAGATGACAATAAAAATCATCACGACATGCTACGACGAAAGACACGGCAGTATCATGTTGTCAGTGATGCGCACTGAGCAGAGGCACTTACGCAGGAGCAGTCTGGCTTTCACTAGATGAGCGGGCCGAAAGGGAAGCAAAGCAAGCTGAGCATGAGACAAGTCTAGGGGATGAACGATGCAAGAAGCGGGAAGGTTTCTTTGCACAGGACTTCTAGGCCTGACATGCCTGACACGAGGCACTAGCTTCATGTTCTTTGGAGCGCTTTGAACTGTGAATAATGGCTCTGATGGTTTATACGCAGACACAGATTACGAAAGAGAAGCACAAGTTGTTCTCCACGGATTGGCGATACGAAGAACCTGTCAAGCTGATAAAGGACCAACAGAGAAAGGAGCTTGTTCGAGCATGACAAATTTCAAGTGTTGAACGAATTGCAACGAGGGCATGAAAAGATATGAAGAGGAGTACACAGCCCACGCATCTGGAGTCTCGCGTAATCAGCACGCGTATTGGTATCCATCGTAACCTCCGACCATCTTGCCTTTTTGGGTGTTGCCTGCGCTGGTAATCTTTGGGGCTATTGTAATGCCCCTGGGTCGCAGCCATTATGAAGGCAGTGCTATGGTCAACTTGAGTCTTTAACCCGATGGTTTAGTCAAGGCACCGTTTCTGCAGCAGTAGGTCAAGGGCTATAACTTTTCGCGAAATCAAGACCAATGCACGCTGTGACAAAGAAGCTAACATGAATAAGAAAGCAATAAGCACCTTAGGATTATCCGTGTTCACTCTACCTTTACGAGTGCGAATCTGTTCATTACCTGGTTGACCTGCTTCGCATGCTTGAGGCCCTTTGTCAGATGGCAGTTAAATCCCGGTACTCGTCTCCTTTCATGCAATCCCCATGTATAACCAGTTAGAATGGGCGTCTCGTTGATCTTTGCTAATGCTACTTCCCAACTACGATGCGTTTGCCGGTGCCGCAGACTTTGGTTACTTGGGGTGTCACACATCCGGCTGGAGCGTTCGAGTGCGGAGTGCTGCCAGCGCGGTGCAGTGTAATTTCCAAAGGAAAATGCCAAACTCTTCTGGGCGGGCTGCAACACCTTCAATAGAAGCTGTTTGTGCGGCAAAGATGACACAGTAGAACCGAACGAAGCCTTGCCACTGTTACCAGTACGTTAATCGTATCAGGACCAGCAATTGCTTCAACCCTGATTTGTTTTACAACTTACCACGTTTGAACTCGTCCTGTCTGTCAACAAAGTTAGAATGTATCATTGGCATTACAGCTACCGGCACCGACACCTTCAGTTTGTCTCTGCTTCTGTCATCAGAACAAGTGAAGAGATCTTAGCTGAATGTAGGTTACCAGATCACACGATGCTCATGTTGTCCACAACCTTTTGTGTGTATACTCGCGTCTGCAATCTGTCCACGGATGTTGCCTAAACGGATTTTTACTTGTAAAGCTAGCGACATGCAACGATCGGGTTCGGACCTGTAACCCCTTCAACATGTTGAAGTCCAAGCACACGCAGACTGACGAACCAAAAAAACAAAGCCTGTCTGCCCTGGAAGGTGAGCTGTGTAGAGACACAAAGAAGTTTTGTACATGAGCGAGTCAAGTCCAACAGGAACAAGAAGCGCGAGGACACAGACAAGTATGCTTCCGGCAGGGGCTGCAAAACTTGGCGTTTACTCCGGGACGAAGAGACACGAGACCGATGACACAGTGAAGGTTTTGCAGCCGAGAAGAACTGCTGGAGCAACATGCGGACAAAGTCAAGTCACAGCATGTGGCATTCGAAAAGACTTCCCTGTCCTTAGTGGACATTTGACAATCAAGGAGTGCTTTAAGTCCTTACTGGGATGGCAATGTCAGCTTCATGGTGCCGTGATTTATTCCGTGAAAGGAACATGTCCTGTAGTTTAAAGGTCGACAAGTCACTGGATAATTGTTTGGGTGTAGTCAGTTGTATCGATTTGGGTTCTGCCAGGGCTTGTTGATCCTGGTGATTTGCACAGCGTTGCTGCGCTCCTGAAAGGACGCCCCTTGCACTGCATGCGCAGTGGACTGTCTTGGGAAATGCAACCTGGTGTGGAGACTCAGAGTCCTGAACCCGATCTGGCTTTGGACAACATTTGAGCTGTCTGTTACGGCAATGAGGCTAGCAGCTGGTGCGGCACTGTGTCAGCGCTCTCGCGGACTGCGTCGATGTCACCTCCTGCAGGTTGGCGCGCAGAACCTCTCTCGTTCAGGATGCAAAATGTATGTTGCTGAACAGGCCTGCAAGGTGGATACCGTCGCAGACGAGGAGCTCGGTTCAGGCATGGCAAGCTGAAGAAACCGCAAAGAAGTTGTTGGCATCGCTCAGTCTGACTGTGTGTCTCTCTACCCATGTCTCTCTGTTTTTGCCTCTCTCTTTGTCTCCATCGCTCGGCGGCTGTACATTCTCTCGCTCTCTCTGTCTCTCCCTCCTCACCCTCCATCTCCCTGCCTCTCCCTCTTCTCCCTCTCCTTCTCCCTCTCTCCCTGCCCTCCCTCCCTTTCTGGCTTCTGCCTCTGCCTGCCTGTGCCTGCCCCCCCCCACCTGTGCCTGCCTGTCTGCCTGGCCTGGCTACCTGGCTACCTTGCCTGGCTGGCTGTCTGTCTATCTATCTACCTATGTATGTATGTATGTATGTATATGCTTTATGTTGTATATGTACATGCAGGCATCTCTCGCTTCCTCCCGTTCCCTCATCCTCCCTCTGCCACGGGTAGTTTGACCTTGTGCTGAACTTGAGCATGGTACAGAGCTTGTGCAAAGGCGGTTGTGTGTTGTTCACGCTGACATCTAGGCTAAACATTGCCAGTCATGGCACTGTCTGTTGCAGCCCGTATTGAGGTACTGCATGTTTGAGTACAAGAAGTGCTGCCTTTTGACCCAGGGCTCTTCACTAAGACAAATGCCTGCCCTGACACACTGTGCAAGATCTAACTGA